GAAGTGGTCGCAGCAAACCTAATGGAAATAAATCCCTATTAAAGGTACTCACAGCCATTTACTGAACAAGATGACCTATTTAACTTCTAACAGTCTCTCATTAGGACCAAAGATTGCTCAGGAGCAGCAAAGAAAACAACAACAACAAAAAAGGCATGTAGAAATACATTTTCATAAGTACTTGGGAATTTAAAACCTGATTTTTCTATAGAGTACTTTAATTACAAAAAAACCACTAACAGTCTAAAACCACAAGCTTATTACCACGCGACAAAGTGCCTGCAAACACTGAACCCTGCATGGGTGAAAGTACGGATAATTCCTGTATTGTGAATATTAAAGAGAAATGTCATGGCATTGCAACATAAATCTATATCTCAGACTGCTGTAAACTGGATTAGTTGCACAGACGATAGCATAACTAAACAGAACAAATATCAGGACAAATAGGAAAAATGTCTGGTCCGGTCTTAAAATATATTGCCAGGAACTATTTTCCTTATGCTTACACTATATGAAGGAAATTCTATTATGTTCTTATTGCTGATGCATGCCTTGTCAAATCATTTTAAATGGTAATCTTATTCAAATATCCATGGTCATCTAAAATACCCAATTGCTCTTAATTATCTGAAAATTAAACCTATGCTAACTGTTTACCAATACTTTACTACTGCATTTTCCACAACTAATCAGATTGTTCATCCTCACAACTAACACTAATAAGCTAAATGATTTGCCAATTAAAAAAAAAAAAATCAATCAAAGATGGTATCTCAGTAGCTACTCCTAAATAATGTTTCTCTGCATCATGTTATAAAAGGAAAAAAAAAATAAAATCAATGAATTCTGTGAAAGAAGTGAAGTCTGGGCCATCTCTGAAATACCTGCTTTTGCTCCCTTCAAAATAAGAACCTGCTGCCAGATAATATGCATCATTTGTAGAAAAGTAACTTCTTTTAATACAATAGCACCTTTCTCCCCCCATCTAGCGTGCTCCCCATTGTGCTTGATTACAGGCCGCTGACGCAGCTCCGCGCTGCACATGCTGTCATACAGTCCCCCAGATTTCCTGGCTAGCAGGACTGTTCTCCCTCTCGGATGTCCTCCTGGTGGGTGGCAGACCAGTTCAACAGCCGTGACTCAAACAGGTCAAAGTCTCAAAGTCCAGCTTGCGTTTGCTGCCATCCAAACGACTGGTTTACTGCAGCTCTGAGGCTGATGTTCTCGCTGCGCTCATGAGCCATGTTGTTCAGAAGCCAGAACTGATGCGATAAGCTCCCCGTTTTTACTGGTTTTGAATAATAAAGAATCTCTGTAGGAAAAGTGTTCATTTAATCAAGCTGAGTACACGGGAAACATGCAAAAATTCAAAGTCGGCAAACTGTAACTAATATCCTGTAATATTATTTGTCGAATTTCTCTTTACGTCAATTGAGAAGTCAATTTAGTTTTGTAATTGATTTTCTGGCCTTACTCTTTCAAGTTAACTATGTAAAAAATTGAGCCAAATATCTATGGAACTGAATAAGCGGCAGGAGGGAATGACTTGCAAAGAAAAAGATGAAAGCTGGGATTTTCAAAGGAGCAAGAGGGAGCTGAGTATCCAGCTGTCATGGCATCTCAACGGGCATGGGTGCACAACTCCTGCAGGACCCCTCCAAAATCCCAGGCTGGCAAAATTAAATATTTACGATGCAGCAAAGGTTGAGGAATGGCTTGGCAGACTCAAAGTCATTAGGGGATGTGAATGGGGAAAGTTAAAGAGAAATTGTTTCCAGTGGGGAGATGCTGAGGGTGTTAACAAGCAATAACGAAGAGAAGTGTGCAAGCTGAGCAGCAGGAGGAAGATATCATGTCACCACTGTCACCACTGCCATCACTACAAATGGTACGTATCTAGTCTTGAATTTGGGTCTTAGAAAGTACTGAGAGAAAAACCAATTACCATCAATAGCAAACTACATTTGTAGGAGGTAGGACAGAAACAGCAGTCAGTAATATTACAGAAAAGGCAGTAAGAGGAAAAAAAATATTACTTGAGTAATTAAAGTAAGAAATTATCACAGAATTAATTAAGATTTGGGCAAGATTATGGAAGGGGTTGATTCTGACCATTCTCACAAATGAAGAAAACAACTTGATTCTTCAAATACTCTTCCATACAAGATAGCAAAGGTGCCATTCAGATACATGGATCAAGACTGGATCTGCTTTACCCCACTAGGAATTCAAGTTTCTTATCACAAGCCTATAAGAATCTACAATTCTGGGGGTTTTAAATAAATAAAACCCACTGTGATTCAGCAACCGTTTGCTGAATATCTTCATTTACAGCTCCTCTCTTCCCACTAACTGTATGCTACACTTTCAAAGACATCATTTTACTTCCTACTGTTCTACTAATAATTACTACTTTCACTGATCATTGATCCAGCTTTTTTAAAATTATTTTTACATTAAGTCAGCCATTACTCCTGTAAAGTAATCACAACTGGCTTGTCCTCAGCATTAGCCAACACTTCTTCTATAGTGGAAGCACAAGGAAAGAGGAAAAGGTGCACCCAACACCACTGTTAAGAGAAAGGCTGGTACATACAAGGGAAGAGTTTGGTAGTGGGAGCTTAACTTTGACATGTATTTTTGAGATAATCTCTTTAAGGTCATGCTACTTATTTTCATGCTTGTGGTTACAAATTCCATAACTAGTTCCCATAGTTGAAGAATTTGGTATGTAACAATGGGATAGGATTGGTCATAACAGCAAATCTCCTTAGGCAGAAATTGAAGCCAAGGTGATAGACTTAGATTGCAATGATTTATTAGGATAGATTTAGGCAGTGCCGAAGTCAGGTCATGGTTGAACTAGCGCAATGCAGAACCCGTGCAGGTGCTGAGGGTCCCCTCATGCACAGAGCTCGCTGATCCGTGCCAGGGTCCAGATCGAGCAACTCTTGCACAGACTTCATGCAGAGGAAAGTGAAAAGAGGGTGGGGTGAAATTCAGCCTCTTGCTTGAGTCTCAGCTCCAGGGACATCTCCAGGGAACTGCAATAAGAGCAACTCTGGAGACTCAGCACCTTCACCTGATCTTTCTAGGAAACTAAGGCTCTGCTCTGCCAGAGGGCTGGTGCTACCAGGAAGGACAAGCAATTC